ATATCAGAGAAATTCAGGAATGAAAATGACGTTACATACGAGGTTGATGCATTTGTGCATGTCGTACTAAGCAAGGTATAAAAACAGTTGCTTTATGAGGAATTAGTTCGTACCATTGAATATTTGACGCAATAGACAAGGTGTCACAGAAACCGATGTTGCTATAACCAAGTTTTACTGTGTATATATATATGAGCACAGAAGGGACCATATAGTAATGACCAAAAACCATGATACAGAAGTAAAGCAGTTTCCTCATTTATAATTTATAATTTAAAACAGCTGATGATGACCTTATAGGTCTAAACATGTGGTGAATAACTTTTAATGAGTTAAAATCTAGATGACATGCAAAACATTTAAAGTGAATAACTTTCAGTAAGTTTTATAGAAAGACGTGCTACACGTGAGACTGTGAAACCATTTGATACTTTGAGAATGACGATGAGAAAGGGAATTAAATTTCCAAAATCATTAATTGGAGTAGGTATCAAAGACTTTTTCAGTTCAAGATATGAATTTTGAGACTGGAGACGAGAAAGGGAATTTTCTCTAGCAGACCAATGCACTGTAATACTTCATAATACCAGTCTCTTTTCAGTGTGTTACTGTGAGGATGTCAATTCTTAATATAAGGCTAAAAAACATGAACAGAAAAAAAGGTTATTTTATACATTAATTTCATACTATTACTACATATGTGTGAAAGAAAATAAATATCAGGAAATATGTTATATATGCCATTTGTGAAGTCAGTTTCGTTCTTTATGTCACTAGTTTCTCTCTTTACCATTCCTATCACTTGTCTCAGCTTAGATGTCCTCAAAATTCCCATCTTCTATTTCACATTCACTGCTCACACTCTTCTGTTTGCTGCCAACATTATGGGCTTCTTCACACATTCCCCCTCCCATCTGTGGCATCATATATACACGACTTTCTACATCCTTTCCACATCACTTGCAGATTGATCCAATGGCACAACAGTTTAACACTGAGGTTTATTTTCCTGGTTGATGTCAGAACATGTTCCTCTGCCAAGAGCCATTCAGAATACAGTTTCAAATGATTTTATTTACTAGAACACACAGTTGTGCTCATCCCTCTATGTATGATGACAACATCCTATCATATTTTGTTGTATCCTCTTGTGTAAACCACTACAGGCAACATTTATTATATCCCTGTCACCACAACACTGTTTCCAGAAAGTAGAGTCTGCTGTCCAGGACAATGTTCAGTCTGATTTTTATTAATAATTATTCTGCCATGTATTTAGTGTAAATGTGCTGAAACATGCAGTAACTCTATCTATCTGTCGTGCTGACAGGCATATAATAACATGACACAGGTACTGCAAAGCATACCACATGACACTATATGAAGGATCTGATCTGAAGTATGACTCAGATTTGAGAGCTTCCACCTCGAACGAGGTCAACAAGAGTAATTTTACACAGAGAAAATTATTATTAGATATAAGCACTGATTGCATACACATGACATGATATATGATACATACCATACATTTTAACTGGGGTTATGGCTGCATTGGTATAATGGGAATTACACATATGTATGTTCTAAACCAAGCATCAATTGCAATGAGGAAGTACATTAGACATGTGCTCTAACCCAGGGAACAAGCTGCACTGGTATTAGAGGTAAATTATGCATATGTATATTCTAACCTGGGTATTGCCTGCACTGATATTAGGGGAAGTAAATTATACATGGTATGTATACATGAGCGGGGGGCACGCAGTAGCGTAGTTGGTTGAGGGGCTATGCTACAAGCTGGAAGGTCGCAGGTTCAAATCCCAATGAGGTCAATGGATTTTTTTCAATTGGCCTAATCCTTCCAGCTGCACTATGGACCTGGGGTTTACTCAGCCTCTAACAGAAATGAGTACCAGCAATTAATTAAATAATTTTCCTGGGGAGTAAAGCGCATCCGGCCCATAAGGCTGACAACCTTACCGCCATCTTTGAGCTGACTGTCTAGATAATTTGGGACCCTCAATGTCTCACAACCCTATGGACCTTCATGGCCTGTTACAGGGACAGCTTTACTTTTTTTTTCTTATGTATACATAAGCATGATGAGGAAGTACACTAAATATGTGTTCTAACCTGGGAACAAGTTACACTGGTATGACGACAAGTAAATTATACACCTGTATGTTCTAACCTGGGTACTGGCTGCACTGGTATGATGGGGAAGATGTACTGGACAAGTTGCTGTATACTGGCTCGGACCATGTCCTTTAGTTGTTGCTGCTCTTTCTGCAGGGTGAGAGCATGTTCTGTTGCATTCATTCCCATCTGATTTGTACGTCGTTCCATTTTAGTCACATGTGCTTCACATAGTGGAAGTCTTGCCATTCGCTCCTGGCTTTGTTTAACCATATTTGCAATTTTTGGTTTATCTAAAACAATTAACATCCAATGTATTTAACTCTTCTACTGCTAATGCAATACTGTGTGTTCTAGTACCATAGAAGACATATTTCTTATGTCATATTTATCTAAGACAAGATTTCTTTACCCTTCAAATTTATTATCCAAAAGTGATGGCCACCTTAACATTACAAACCATACAACACACTTCGATATGACAGATGCTTACATCACAAGTAGTACAAAGGAATCAATATTCTTAGTGGGGGTAACATTTCTGTACACAGAACAGCAAGCCAATGATAGACATTTACATCACATGTATCACAGAATACTCAGTGTTCATAGTGTGGATAACATTTCTGTCTCTAGCACAGTCACGCTATCCTCTGCTGTAAGACAGCATAGTGTACAGGGCAGGAACTAAGCACTGCGCAGAATGCAGTTCTACCAGAATTGGTGGCAGCTTGACAGCAGACTGCAAAGGGATATGCATTCACATACCTTCCATCCTGCTGTTGCTGCACCAGTCAGCACCATGCAGCAAACAGTGCTGTCAGTGTGCAGCAGAAACATGATTTAAGTGTTGTATTCTTTGCTACATACACAAGAGTGCTAATCTACAGATTTTGAAAGAGGATGGGGAAAGAAGTAAACATAAGGACATGGGGGACTTCATCTGACCACACATGAGCATTATGGATGTTGGTAATGACATCTGACATATATCTTGCTGGCATCCTGCAGCCAGGGAACTGTTCTTGATAAACACAATGTGCTTCTCTCATGATACTGATATACCTAACATTCATCCATCATGATAAATGATACAAACTCCGTCCCAAGTGCAAACAATATATATTATATGTCTTTGATCTCTTCTACACATGTTTCGACCTCTAATGGCCATCATCAGGTGTATACTCTTACGTTGCTGCCACACTGAACCGAGTCTAAAATTTAACATTTAAAAACACATTGTTATTTTCATCCATCATGATCAGGTGGTCAAAAAATTCCACATTTTCATCTTGACACAACTGCAAAAGTTTCTTTACAACATCCAGCCACTGCTGTTTTTGAACTGGTGTCAACAATCATAGCACCCAACGCGCAACGACCTTTGTCATGTGTAACTCATCATGGATGATGCTGAAAACCGACCCATGGCTAATGCGGACCTTATGACCAATAGCTTCAATCCTATCGGATAGGATCAAACCTTCCACCTGTGCCACAACTCCCGGTTCCTCAGTGAGAGATGGTCTTACACTTCGGGGTTCATCTTCGAGGTTTGCCTGTCCACAATGAAAGCGCCTCTTCCACTTGACCATTGTCATATGATGGTGCAACTTCCTGATACACAACGGTCATCTGGTCGTGGATCTTCCCGGCAGACTTCCCTTGCAAATGCAGGAACCATATCACAGCGTGAGCCTCCACTTTCTCAACCGACATCGCCATTTTGCTTCTGCCCCTTCTGGTGGCTCCCTCTGTCCACTTGGCACAGGAAAATTTGACTGCTGGCCAAGCTCAGGAAATGGGCTATCTACTACATAGAACGATATTTTGAAATTACGATTTTCTCGTGTTGATAATTAAAACATCATGACTTCCCATTGCATGCATGCAACAACAGAAGAACCAAAGGAAGGGGTGTTTTCTATGCTGTGCCGAGGCTATATAACAAGGGCCCACCATGGGTTGGTGGTCACTGATTAGCAGTCAGTCAGGAGTCAGCAGCTAGAGTTAGAGGTTGACCATGAGCACAGAAACAGAGGATTACCCATTGTTAGAAACTGCTCCAAAGGAACAATTGATGAAAACAGAACAAACTAAGAAGACTTAGTGTATGTAAGGGCGATTTGCAAGGTCTTTAGAGTACTGACAGTATTATAGCTATCTGTACGAGGCATATCCACAAAATAAGATCCATTTGCAAATATTGCCGTTGCAGCACTGCAGTCACTATGGTGCACATGCGTGCAGAGTTTGTTGGTCCTTTTGGAAGGCATGGATGTCATTTGCAAACAATCAAACTGCGTTTATGCATCGTCCTGTGTGTTTACAATGTTCAAGAAATCAAGAAGCCTGCCACATGTGAAATGCGATCTGTAAACCGTTTCTTGAATGCAAAAAACAAGAAAGTGGCTTATGGATGAACACAAAATGAAAGCTAGTGCATTGACCCTTTTTGATATAATACATTGAGAAAGGCAATGACTTCTTGAGCAGCACAGTCACAGGGGACAAGACATGGGTGTCACATGTAGCCACTGAATCAAAGCAGCAGTCCATGGAATGGAGGCACACATCATCGCTAATAAAGAAAAAATTCAAACAGACCATTTCAACTCGCAAGATCATGTGCACAGTGTTTTGGGGCAGAAAAAGAGTTCTGCTTGTGGAATTCTCGTCTCAAGGCTCAACAATCAACGCAGGTATCTACTGCAACACATTTAAGAAACTGCATCATGCGATCAAGAACAAGAAATGTGGCATACTTTTTTTTAAATTCGCTTAATGGGGGGTGGAGTCCTACTGGGTTCATTCGGCATGGTGGCCATTGATTGGCCTATCGTAGCCTGCCCCGATTGATTATGATGATGAGGAATTTGGTGGAATGAGGATTGGCAGGAGAAACCAAAGTATTCAGAGAAAACCCACCCCAGCGCCACTTTGTCCACCATAAATCCCGCTTGACCAGACCTGGGATCAAACCCAGGCTGCCACGGTGGGAAGCCAGTGACTATGTGGCATACTTAGTCGGGGTGTTGTGATGCTTCATGACAATGCTCATCCACACACTGCTGCTGCAACGCAAGATCCCATCATGACATTTGGTTGGGAACAATTCAATCATCCCCCCTACAGCCCAAACTTAGTGCCAAGTGATTTTCACATGTTTCTGGATCTGAAAACTTTCCTTGGTGGCTGGCAGTTCCACAACAAGGTCAAAGAAGCTCTTAACATGTGGTTTGCATCACAGGCAGCATGATTGTACAATGCAGGGATACAAAAACTGGTGCCCTACTACAAGTGCCTCAACAATGGTGAAACTATGTGGAAACGTAGCGTACAGTATGTATGAGGGGCAGTCAAATAAAAATGGGTCAGAAGCCAAAACATATTAAAGAACATTTCTTACCCCAAAAGTAATCTCCAAAAATGTTAATACATTTATCCCACTGGGAGAAAAGGTGGTCAATCCCATCCTTGAAAAAGCTTGTGGGCTGTCCACGGAACATCTTTACCCAGACACACACGTCTTTGTCCAATGCAAACTGATGTCCACGAATGTCTCTCTTCATGTCTCCAAAAATGTAAAAATCATATGGGGAGAGATCTGGGCTGTAGGGGGGATGTTGAAGCACTTCCCAACCAAATCTCTGTAGTGTATTCCTCACAGAGTTGGCAGTGTGGGGGCGCATATTATCATGAAGGATAATGCTGTTTGATAACATTCCAGGGCGTTTTGACTTTATGGCACATCCATATTTCTGCAAAGTGTCTTCATAGTGCTGTGCACTGATTGTGGCCCCATGATCGATAAATCTGACAAGCAGAGGGCCCTTGCAGTCGAAGAAGAACATCATCATCTTACCAGAACGTGTGTGTGTATACGGCTTTGGATTTCTTCGGTGGGGAAGAATTCACATGTTACCACTGTTGGCTCTGCCATTTGCTCTCGGGTTCAAAATGGTGGCACCAAGTTTCATCCCCAGCGGCAATAAGGGACAGAAAAGCATACTCTTCCTCATGGTATTGTTGCAAGTGACCCAGAGATGCAGCCATTCTCTGAGTCTTCTGTTCCTTTGTGAGTTGATGTGGAACCAACTGCGCGCAGATTTTGTGGTACAGCAGGTGTTTTGTCACAATGGCGTGTACGGAACCGTGACTTATTCCCATCAAAAGACTAATTTCTTCCACAGTGATCTGATGGTTTGCCTGGATATGACCATCCAACACAGCAATAACATCAGGAGTGATGACACAATGAGCCTGTCCTGGGCGAACATCATCTTTCAGTGACACACGTCCCTCTCGGAATCTCTTATGCCACGCCAGCACATGCGAACGTGACATGCTGTGTTCACCGTAAACAACAGACATGCGACGATGAATTTCTCATCCTCCTACTCCTTCAGCAGTCAAAAAGTGCACTACACTTCACTGTTCTTCTTTACCTGCCTCCATTATGGATGCTGGACAACCACACGTAGCGCTAACCTTACTCCCAGTACAATAAATAAACGACTAGTGTGCAAGGGCACGTTGTCACTGTGCTTTCCCGAGTCCCCACCAGATGTTCGTACTGTAAGCAAATTCCAGTGTTATCAACTTGCGTGCCATGAGTTAAACTATTTGTATAACGTTTCTTTGTAACACACACAGATTGATACAGAATCTGTCCAAGCTTCTTTGAAACTTTATGGACACTCAACACGAGCCCCATAAGTCATACGGCAGATGCTGATCTGACACTCAGATTTTCCCAGACTGTTGTCTGGTAACCGATGCCACTGCTTCGGAAATCCTATGTTTCAGATCTGAAATGTGTGGAGGCAATGGTGGTACAAACACAGCATCCTTCACCTAACCTCAAAAAAAGAAGTTGCATGATGTCGGACAGTGACCCTGTGGGCTAGAAACGCCAGATTTATCTTCTTTCATTTCACATCCCATTTATTTTTGCAGATGTATGCTGCTCAGATATCATTCCACTTTGAAACAAAAGTGGGGAGGAGCTCCATCCATCTTGATGGACACAAAAGCAGCATTACTTTCATGAAGCAGTGGCATAAGGCAGTTAATCAGAATGTCAATATAATGTAATTGTGTCCTCGATGAAGAGAATGGTCTGTATACCTTTTCCTGTAAAATGGCATCAGACTTTTGCAGATTTCTGTTTATACATGCTGGAGATTTTCTGAGCATAGGATACAAATGTTTGGTGGTTCATTTTGCCACTAGATGGAAATTAGCTTTGTCATGGAAAACAAATCACACTGCCATGTCATCCTCTTCAAACTCATTGAACTTCATAGCAGAAATCATACAGTTTGCACCTGCCAATCGGCTTTAAATCCTCCGTCCACTGCAGCCTATCAGCTTTCATAAGCACGTGCCAGACTGCAGTCTGAGGTAAACTCAACTTGTGGCTGCATCGGTATGTCGACTTCACATACTTTAACCGTGGTGAATCCTTCCAGCAATGTTAGGAAACTCCCAATGCACATTTGTAATAGAATTTGGCTTTGCAAACTGAAAGATGCAGAATGATGTCTCTTGCATATGGCTGCTTTCACATGTGCACCTTTAAAGGGTAGGAACACAATCATGTTTGCGGCAGGTATTAGAATAAAAAAAATAGTTAGATTAGCTACCTGTCAGTATATGGGCCATCACTATGAAATTAAGTATTGTACTATTAGTGCCCAAAAATGTTTATTTTATTTTGCATCACCCTGCATAAACTTAGCAACTAAGCATCATTAAACATACCAAGGATATAAAAAAAAATATTACTACAAAGCTACAACTTCCCAGATTCTACGGAAATTTCAAGAAATAGAAAAAACACTGTTTTCATTTAGACCTTACCTTCTTCAAGACTTTTCCTCTTTTCTTGTATCAGTATTCGTAGCAGTGCTATTCGTTCATGACAAGCATCAATTTCTGTCCGCTGAAAGTTTATTGATCAAAATTAGGAATTATTTTAATGAAGACGTTTTTAGACAATTAAACTTCAACAATAAAATCACCACATAATGGGGAACCATTTGCTGTTAGTTACATATGACTAGACACATGTTACTTTCCATGCTACAGATGAGCTGCCTCGTTCAGGTATTTTGGTCTTAATTTATTTGGTGTTCAACAAGATCAATGAAAGGAACCTTCCCTGCAATTCTGGATAGTTAAAGCTAACTATATGTGTCTTTTCAACAAGAGAAACTGTGCACTCACTTAATTAAAATGCTGTATGTGTGCACAAATTCTTCTGTCAAATTTCACAGAGTAGGAGGGATATTAAAGTAGGAATGGTATCGGGAAGTATAAATTATAAGTGGGAAGAGGAAACACAAATGCTAATTTGTAATCAAATTTTAAAAATGAGAATTGCTGAATTAGCCATACGGTGCACCTAAAATATGTTCAGGATCACTGGGTTTTTGGACGTTTTCCAACATCTGGTATTCTTTAGAATAAGTTTCAGGAAACAGACGTTTCTGTTCTCAGGTGATGGGATAAGTGACACCTACTCTGTCGGGTCCATCACAAAGAGCTAACCCTTATCACTGGTTCAACAGGCTAATAAGGAAGGAGTATTACACTGACTGAGCAAGATATATGAGAGCTATTCGGAAAGTAACCTCTGGTGAGCTATTCACAAAACGAGTAATCAGAAAAAAAAATATTATGTGCAAAAAATACGTACATACTTATGCTACTTATCAACACAGTCACCACTGGAATTGAGGCACTTTTATCATGGAATAAGTTTTTGTATGCCTGTATCAGATAAGTCTGCTGCCAGTGAACTCAGCCATATTTTGACACATTCCATCAATTCTTCATTACTGCTGAAGCGCTGTGATCCCAACACGTTCTTCAGGTAGGTAAACAAGTGGCAGTCACTTGTAGTAAGATCGGGGCTGTCAGGAGGGTGGTCAAATAACTCCCAGTTGAAATGCTCCAGCACTGCTCAAGTGTGAGCAGCTGTACTTGGATGAGCATTACATCCACTAACACTGTGATTTGCCTACATTTTTTGGATACACAGATTCAGCTGACAGTTACAGTATTTTTGCTCAGTGGTCAGTGGTCAGTGGTCAGTGACTCATGCCTATATTAGATAGTCCCTTGTCACCATGGCACAGCGCGTCCTCGGGTTGTGGTTGGAGGATACGACCTCCAAGTATAGAGGAAGGCTGCGAATATATTGAATACGCAGTCACAGACAGCCGACAAGGGGTGGTCCTCCAGTTTGGGGTTTGGGCGTGGAGTTAACAACTCCTCGCCGTAAAAAATAAGCTTGATATGAAAACATTGAAGACGCCTCGAACCTGGACAGATTCTGTGGATAAATGACCTAAATGAAAGCATATGGATATGAGATTTGGTAATTGGAAGGTTAGAAGTATGCATAGGGCAGGTTCACTCAAGGCAGTGGCAGAAGAAATCTCAAAATATAAGTTAGACTTAGTGGGAGTACAGGAGATCAGATGGGATGGAGGTGGCACCAAACAAGCAGGCGAACATACATTCTTCTATGGAAAGGGGGAATGACAATCATGAGTTAGGTACATGTTTTATTTTTTTATCATACATAGGAGTATCATATCAGCAGTTAAAGAGGGTACAATTTGTTAGTGATAGGCTGTCATACATAATACTAAGAGGTCACTGGTGTGTATGATTGATCTGATTATTAATGCCCCAATGGAAAATAAAACTGATGATATAAAGGACAGGTTCTATGAAGAACTAGAACATGTATTTTATAAATTCCTGAAGTACCATATGAAAATTTTGTTAGATTTCAATGTCAAAGTAGGCAGGGAAGACATTTTCAAACCAACGATTTGGAATGAGAGTTTGCTTGAAATTAGTAATGATAATGGAGTTAGAGTAGTAAACTTTGCCACATCCAAAAATCTTACTGTCAAAACTACAATGTTCCCACATCGTAACATCCATAAATTTACTTCAACGTCTCCTTATGGAAATACTAACATTCAAATTGACAATAATTTGTTAGATAGGAGCTGGAATCCAAGTGT